AAAAAAAATAATAATAACACTGCATACCTTATTCGCACTGTCAAATCAGTTAAGTCTTTAATATCACATCTCCATTATTATTACTGTAGCATCAGCGACTCTAAATTACGATGTAATATTGTGTCTTTGACAGCATTGAACACAATTTTAATATTTTCTGTGTCAACGGCAGTAGTAAAGTGGTGAAATAATGATTTTTTTGGATCCCTTTTTACGGATACAAGGAGATCCAATATAAAATTTTGAACATCTTTCATGGAATGTGAATCACCCGTAAACTGTGGAAAGTACCAGCAGATATTCGTGTCTTCAGATCGAACTTTCTTCTCCAGCAGATCGGTTTTATTTAGAAATAATATCACTGACACTCCATAGAATATCATATTGTTGATAATTGTATCAAATATATTTCTGGACTCTTCTAATCTGTTTGTTCTCCTGAAAATTAAGAAAAAAACTTTTAGTTGGTACCAATAAAATATACCTAATTTATGATCAAAAAACAAATCAATCATTATATTATTTTTTTTAGTGGCTGATTAGAAGCATAATTTATCATTAGGACAGAAGTCGATGAATTTAAACAAAAAACAAAAGGTCACTTAACTTGGGTAAGAAAATACGCTTATGCTTAACAGGTCCGACAGTTACATTCGTTATCCTAGCATTACAAGTGATAACATTAGAAATACACAGTGTAAAATATTTAGAGCTTCGATAGCTTAGTGGTAAGCGTGTTAGCCTCCTAGCCAGAGGTACTTGAAGGATCATGGGTTCAAATCTCGTCGAAAATTATCGAAATTTTTTTTTCGGTCTTTTGTGATGTAATGAGTAATTTTTCTGGAGACGTCTAGATCTCCAGGGGCTTCTTTTTCGAAGGAAAGCTAACATCTGGTCAGATCATCGGGTAAAATCACTGTCGGTTATAAAAAGGTCCATGCAGCGAGTTGGACAGTTAATTGGAAAAGATTCTTCCATTAAACTTGTTAATAGCTGGGGGTATGCTTGAGACAATCAATGCGCGCTGTTATAGTACCCAGTAAGATGGATAACCGAGCTGTCTCAGGGGAACTTTGCAAGAGACCCGCACGAAAGAAAAAAGAGCTCTGATATTCGCTCCGAGCCGATACAGAGGTTGCGCCCCCTCTAGCCAAAATCAGGCAACATTTCTTGCATGTAAACAAACGGTTTAGAACATATATACATGCGTATACCTGCTTGTGATTGGCTGAATAAGACAGCAGGAGAGGATCGTCGTTCTCTCTCTAGCTTGCCAAGTGCCAATCACAAGCAGCTGTACGTATGTATATATGTTCTAAACCGTTTGTTTACATGCAAGAAATGTTGCCTGATTTTGGCTAGAGGGGGCGCAACCTCTGCATCGGCTCGGAGCGAATACCGAAAGCCGAAAAGAGTCCTAGAATAGAAATTGAATATTTTATATTAGTTTAATTCTGCGATATTTTTACAAACGTATTCATAAAATCTAATTTTTTTTGTGATTAACAGCTTTCATGTACATTTATAACTTTATTCTTTTTTTTTTTTACATTAGCTTCTTAACTATTTTTGTTTAATATTATTTTTCAGACAATACTAATCACATTTTAAGTATAAATGTTTATTACAAAAACGCAGAACAAAATGTACAACTTCAGTCAACCACACATTTAAATAAAATCTACAGATTTTTCTGACCTCACAACACTTCCAATAAAAACTATAAAACATACAGTCAAAACACTCATTTTTTAAACTTTTCTACTACTTTTTCAAATTTTAAAGGGAATAGTTCCGAAAAAAATAACAAAAATGATAAAAAAACTTTTTTTTTGAGATTTACAATTTCTTATTGAAACCGAATATGTAAGTCTTAAACTTTTTACGATGAACCCAAAAACTTTTTTTTTTAACCTGTGAAATATTACCATTTGACTACAAAAGCATAAGAAATTTTTTTTTTGTTGTACACAGGTAAAATATTTGATAGTAATATTACATGCTAAAAACTAGTTTGAATTTTTTTTGAGTTGTACAGTTTTGGGGCTAGTCAAATTTATTACTGCAATAAATTTTTCTAGATTTTAAACTGTTAGATCATGGTATGAAAACAAGACAATAAACCAAATTTGAGCTGAGATTAATTGAAACTTCGAGAATAGTCAATTTATATGTATATGCCGATGTACACATCAATGTTAGAATTCAATAACCCAAATTTTAAGTTTTGCATGACTTCCAGAACAACAGCACAAAGAAAGTTTAACCATAGGTAAGTTACAACCTTGTAAAAAAGAAAAATAAATGAATAATTTATTATGATACAGTGATCAAATAGTAAGTATTAACACTTTTTTCATAAAGCTACGTTCGATTTAATTTTTTTTCTTCTATTTTTTAATATTTTAATTCTTGCACCAAGAATTGAGGCACCAGTCAAGTACATGAGCAGCTGAATGAGAGAAGACGTCAGCTTTCATGTATACTTTAACCATGTCAAAGAGCACGGCAAAATATCCACTCATGCTTGTTGAAGTCAAAGCTATGACGATGCACAGTGGTATTCAATGCAAAAATTAGGATAACATTACTTTGAGCCAGTTATCCAAATAAAGGGGGAAATAACTTAGCATCCATCGGTGAAAATATTTATACTCGGTTTTTGGCATTAACTTATGCAAAATGATCCCTTGAAATCGAATTCGCATGTTGCCAGGCTTGAAAGTTAGTCCAAAATTGTTTAAAAAATTTTTTTTAATATCGTGTACCATTTTTCATGGCTAAAAATAGCCATTTTTGCATTTTTTTTAACTTTAATTATTATTATCCCGGAGAGTATTAACTTCAGAGAAAAGTTGCAAGAGACTTTTTTTGTTTGTAGTCCACAGATGGTGAACAAATTTTTTTTGAGTAAAAATAGACGATTTGCAAAATTTGTTTAAAAAAAATTGTTCAAACCATTTTGGACCAACTTTTAAGCCTGGCAACATGCAAATTCGATTTTAGGGGATCATTTTGCATAAGTTCATGCAAAAAAACTGAGTATAAATATTTCCACCGACGGACGCGAAGTTATTTCCCTCTCTAAAATAAATATTGTCGGTTTTCTAAGAAATCGAGCTTACAATGGTGACTGCACAATAAATTTATTTAATTTTCATTCAACTGTTTAATTTTTTATTTAGCACTAAATTTTAAATAAATAAATCAGGCAACAAGTATTTTCATTGGAACTTGATTAAACATCGATACGTCAAAACAATTCATGGTCATCTTTAGTGACTAGATGACATCACTCAATACATATTGTTATGGAACAAGCATCGGGGATTCTCATGTAGATGGGGAGCAGATAATTCAGATTTATTGAACAAATGGATTAAAGTGTCCGAAATATTGTAGTGAGTAGCTCGAACCCCATCAACTAAGGATTCACGAAACTTTACGCTGACCGCTCCACCACAACCGCTACCGAGAGCGGCTGTATTAGTTGCACTTTTAGATGCATCATTGTGTAGTCAGTTGTACGCCGGTGTGCCAACACACGGGCGATGACTTAACTGAACCAAGCCACGTCCGTGACACCTCCCCGCTTAATGCATCATCATCCCCGATAACACCTCTTACTACGTCACCTACTGGGTATTTTTTTCCCTAAATTCAACAACTGTTTATTAGTCTTTTCTCGCATATGTTTAGGTGTCCCTCGACATGTTGTATCCATTGTAGCATCGCTTTCCTACTGTCTTCTTACCTCAATATCATTTTTATGACAGGTAGCTTCATTAGTATATTGACTCACCAGGAGACATAGTTTTTACCGGCTACCGGAGGTAATACAGATTTCTTCCGAGTTGATGCGTCCAGCGCATATCGGAGTTAATTTTTTGAGCGAATTACCTTCTCGACCGCCTTAGGCGATAAGCCAAGCTACATCCAGCCTCTCTGTCACCAATTCAGGAATTCTCGTGTAGATGGGAAGCACGTTATTCCGATTCAGGAAATAAATGGAATAAAGTGTCTGAAATATTATAGTGAGTAGCTCCACTGAAAAGGTGGAGCTGGGGCTCAAACCCAATCAACTAAGGATTCACGAGCCTTTACGCTGAGCGCTTAGCCACGATCGCCACCGAAAGCGGCTGTATTAATTGCACTTTTAGATGCACTATTGTGTCGTCAGTTGTACGCTAGGGTGCCAACACACGGGCGCTGGCTTGACTGAACCAAGCCACGTCTTCGACAACATACTTATACTTCTTACTCACTGTTTGAAACGTTGTTCTCTTAGCTCACAACAGTAAATGAAGAGGATACAAGCTACTTAATTATAGCGGAGACTCAGGATGAAGCAAACAAAACGGTGCAGAGGGCGGAGATTAAGGTGACATATATACTTTTACACATGACAACAGACACTCGGTTCTGGATCTGTTAATCGAATTGGAAAACAAGCAAAAAAGTATGACAAATAAATTAAAGTCACATAAAAACTGAGTTGAATCGTCTTTCTGCAAAGATGCACAGGTAGAGATAAAAAAGTTAGTTTTGTGGGGAAAAACTATAAAGGTGAAAGCGATAAAAAAACTAGGAACATATATCTTATAACAGATAACAGAAGCACTTTTAAATGGAAGGATAAAATAAGTGCTGAATACAAAATGAAAGAAAAACGAAGACAAGAAATATACAAATGTTATTTTATCCTTCTATTTAGAAGTGCTTCTTGACTTAGGTTCATCTTAAATATCACTTTTTCGTACTAGTTTAATTTTTTTGCTGATAAGTATATTTACTCTTAGACTAGTGTCTGTCACCGTAAATTATAGTTCAAAGTTTTATTAGCCGGCTGGTTTAAGGTATTCAGGTATGTATTACTAATTTCGTATTGTACGTATCTTAATGTTTGCATGCTATAAAAAAACAAGTAGCAAGATACGATAAAAAATAACACAGCATGGTGACGATTTATACATTATAAACTATAACCTTGTTATATCGATTCATCTCGTGGCGTTTATCGAGGTTACTGAAGGTAGGTCTTCATGCCTATTTTATTTTTTGCTCCAATACAATATCGCTTTAAGGATCACCTGTCACATATTTATTTTCTACGATATAAGATTAAAGGTTATGCGTACGTACACAATAAGTTTTGACAGAAATTTATGGAATGTAAACGTGAATGTTAAGAGCAATTCATCATACTTCTAGTTTTGTAAAGAATATTTTGAGCTCATTGAAAATGTAATGATTCATTTTTCTTTTTGAAGGTAAACTTCCTTAACTTGTTAGTTCTGTACTACTAGGGAGAATAGGAGTAGTACGTTGTGAGCTTTATAACGTCAACAGTAGGACTTTTTATAACGGCTTAGTTTATTTTCTTGTTCCTCACTTAAAAATATACTTAAAAAATTTTCTATTCGTAAAGCTTCAATTTT